TTAATTAAATAAGAATATTTGATAATATTTTTATATAAAAAAATTTTAATTACTATTTATGTAAAATGTTAAATTTTTATCTAAAATTTATATTAAAAAATAAAAATAAATAAATTAAATTTACTAAAAATAAATAGAAGACATATATATCAACTTCATTTTTTTCTCTTTAATAAATTTCCTAATTAATACGGTATATATTTATATTTTCCTCGCTTTGAGATTTATTATAAATGCATGCAGATTCAAGATATATATATATATATATATACACACATTAGAGATGGTGCGAGCGACAAATTCTCTAGAAGTTGTTGGATTGTGCCTGTATGTGTGTATATATATATGATCCGAATAAAGATGTGGAAGCTAGCTAGCTGCCTCACCCTGTGCGCCTTCTCTTTCCTCCATGGTTGTCTGGACCGTCTGGTATTAACCTGATTGTCTCCTTCAGTTTGTCATGTCATGGCCAGAATTATGTTTCTATGTTAGAACTACTAACTGTGCCTATGTCCTATGACCGTGTGACGTTTCTATGAATAAATTAATAGAGATTGTTGTTCCTGTTAAGAAATTTTGCTTTTAGCAGTTTTTTTTTTCTCGAATAAGAATAATTAAAGCCTATAAATTAACTATCCGAATATGTTGGTCAGTAAACAAAACTTTCTTCGTTCCAATAACATATGTAACTAATTTCTTATTGATTGATATGTAGATCCATTCCAATTTCCAAACCACTCTAATGGTCGGTTGTCAGTGTGTTTCAGTAACCAGTTTTTTTTTTTTTTTTTTGGAAAGTTTCAGAAACCAGTTACCATAGCAATGAAAAATCAATTCATTGAAAACTTTGATTAATGTTTTTCTATTCTAAAACTAATCTTATATATAGGTTTTTTTTTTTGAAAATATTTGTTTGCTTCATATTTTGTACTTTTTTATGTTTATTTTTAATAAATTTAATTTGATTTTTAATTTTTTTAAATATAAATTTTAAATAAAAATTTGACATATTATATAAATAAAAGGTTAAACCCCTTTTTTGGTCCCTCAACTATTGTACGGACCCCCGATTTGGTCCCTGAACTCAGAAAATCCCTGACTTAGTCCTTACTGTTTACCATTTTTACCCCAATATGGTCCTTCCGTTAAACATCTCTCCACCTGTACTGTTAATTCACGGTAAGATGATGACATGTCAAAATTTTACTTCACGTGAAAGACAACATGGCAAAAACTAGTGACATGGCAATAGAAATTTTAAAAATTATTTCTCCTTCCTCGTCCCCTTTCTCCTTCCTCTTCATTTCCTGGACCCAGAGCCTGGGATCATCGAACCCAGGCGATGGGATCCTTCAAACCCAGCTGGGCGTTCCTCGTTCCCTTTCTCCTTCCTCTTCCTTTCCTTCTTCATCAAAATCATCATCATCAAACAACACCCACAAAAACTTCATTCATCAATCAATTCACCAAACAACACCCACAAAAACTTCATTCATCAATCAATTCATCAAACAACACCCACAAAAACTTCATCAATCAATTCATCATCATCATCAAACAAAACCCACAAAAATACTGAA